AGAGCCTGTTATCTAGGGGTTTTCTTGGACCCTGAAGGTTGTACCCTTGGGTTTTGGGGTCCCTTTTTTAAGGATCCCTAAGGGATAGAAGGGCCAGATTAGGAGTATAATGGGGGACGTTTAGGGTACAACCTTAGGGGTACGAGTCTTCGTCCCTTGATTCTAGAGATTGGGCACTGCTCCACAGTGTCTTTGGGGGTACCGAACATAGGAGGCTCCATATGTGAAGCGCCCAAAGGGTCCGAAGGGACTATCATCATCTCTCGAACTGAAAAACGCCTTGGGCCTTAGCGCCCAAAATTTTACCCCCAAAGCCCTGTGCCCTTGCCAAATCATCCCAAGAAACCATCAGTCTGAGAAAAAGCTGAAGACACAACTCCTGGACCTGAATTTTCTAGGGGGGGCAAACAGGTTTAGGGGTTCAGGGTCCTGAGTTTTCCGGCTATGGTTTCATGTAATTCTAGGCACTCAGCAAGGGAACAGGGCCTCTTGCGTCCAAAACAACCCCTAATCTCTGAGACCACTTTTCTTAGTAGCGGGCCAAGCAGCCATATCAGCATCCCCTAAACCCTAAACCCTAAACCCTAAACCCTAAACCCTAAACCCTAAACCCTAAACCCTAAACCCTAAACCCTAAACCCTAAACCAAAACCCAAGAAGGGCAAGAGGTAAACCCCAAGCACCCTAAACTGGCTGGTTCTTAGTAGGGAATGAGGGAATGAGGTACCCTGTACAATCCTTAGACGGTGTCTGTCGAGCCCTAATTCCCTCATTCCCTACTGAGAACCAGGGGGCAAACCCCCCAACCCTGACTTCTTGGCTTGCCCAAGTTGCGGCAAGTCAGCCCTCGGGAGGATGCAAGCTACGACATCCAAAGATGCACTGCTCTGGAGGCCTTTTGTCTTCGGGTTTAGGGTTTAGGGTTTAGGGATTCAAAATGACATGTCCTTTCATTCCCTATACAGCACCCGAAAACCCGGACTAAGAGGGTTGTTTTGGGTCTTGATGTCCGGTTCATTAAAACCCTAAACCCTAAACCCTGAACCCTAAACCCTAAACCCTAAACCCTAAACCCTAAACCCTGAACCCGAACTCCTCTTCAGGCGGGTCTTTCCGAAAGTCTGGCCACACGTTTTTTAACTTCACTTCTGCAGTGACCTTGAGCCACCCAGGGGCACGGAGTGAGTGGAGCCGATGTACCCTAAACCCTAAACCCTAAACCCTAAACCCTAAACCCTAAACCGAAAAACCCTAAACTCGCCCAAATCCTGTGACCCTTGAAGTCAGGTTTCGCAACCAATCCCTGCTGCGACAAGGTCCTACTTACTTCTCCAATAACCAAGTGGAAAAAGGTCAAACTTTAATATTCCTACTAACTAAGGAAACCCTAAACCCTAAACCCTAAAAGTTTGAAGTTCAACTAAAGGCGAAGTAAGCCTACCTGGTCCCCGCTCAGCCCCGGAACCACCGCGGAGCTACACCAAAAGCAATTTTGTAAGGTTTAGGGTTTAGGGTTTAGGGTTTAGGGTTTAGGGTTTAGGGTTTAGGGTTTGGGGTTTAGGGTTTGGGAAACTTCCAACCCTAAACCCCCCCAAAAGTCCCACATTGACTGGCGAGCTCATAGCACGGACATGAGGGTTTGGGGTTCAGTCTTCTTCCGTATGTTGACACAGACGCCGGGGCAGAAAGCACTAAAAAAACATGAGAAGCTGCTGTGAACGAATGAGCTTTGGTTGGGTTCCCTTACAGACCCTGCGGCTTTTAGACTCCCCTAAGAACCTTAATAAACATAATATTGTTAGTATCCTCTTGGGTTTTATATAATTCAAAAATCATTCCCAAGGGGGATATAGGCTTAGGTCGTTGGAAGAAGGGCCTAAGGCGTCGGGGTGAATCGTTTTCGTTGCGGGCTTTGGATTGTGCCTTACTTTCGCCTAACCCGTAACCTAGCGTTTAAAAGGGGAACCCAAAAAATCCCCTGAACCCGAAGCCCTCTAAACCCTAAACCCCTAAAGCCTAAACTCAAAACTTAAACCCTGCACCCCCTAAAACCCGAAGTGGATCCCAAGATCCGACACGCAATCTTTCACGTCGGCAGGCGGTGTCACAGATAGCCATTGTCGGAGTCCTCGTCGGCCTTTCAGCTAGGGTTCCTTCAAGGTAAAGGGTTTGGGGTTTTGGGTACAGAGTTTGGGGTTTAGAGCTATAGAGTTGAAGGTATAGGGTTTAAGGGTTGTAAGCTTCAACGTTTTGGGCCATAGGCTTTAGGGTCTCTGATGTTGGGGGGGTTTAGGCTAGGGTAGAATTGTTCAGCCTCTGGGGGTCAGGATGACTTTTCTGATGGTTTCGGGGGGGTGGTGGGGGTGAAGGGTTTTCAAGTGAAGGCCACGCGCTTGTAGGCATTCTCTTGCGGATGGGTTCTTGGCAGCCCATTTTGACCATATTATGATAAGGGAACCCTTTTTGGGGCCTGCGTGTGCGTGTGCGTGTGCGTGTGCGTGTGTGCGTGCTCGTGCGCGTGCGCGTGTGCGTAAGACCCTGGAACCCAAAACCCCGAAAAAAACCCTAAAACCCTACATCCCAAAAACCGTCCCCCCTTGCCCCCTACCCCCCCCCCCCTCTCCCCACCCATCCCACCCGCCCCCTGCCAAGCATGCCTGTTTATTTCCTGGACCTTAGGACACCGAACCCTCCACTTCCTGCAATGAGGTAGTCTATTTTTGCCCCCCCCCCCCCCCCTCCTCCCCCCCTTTGCAAGGCCCCAAAAAACTCTCTCCCTCAACCACCCCCAACCCTAAACCCTAACCCCTGAACCCTAAACCCTAAACCCCCAACCCTAAATTTGTAGAACTCCTAAACCCCAAACCCACTTACTGGGGTCCCGCACCTGCTTTCCGCGGTAGTCGCTTCTCGGCCTATGCAGCCGTGCCGCCATGGGTGGACGTGGTTCTCGCTTAGGGCTTTAGGGTATTTAGGGTATTTAGGGCTTTTGGGGCTTTTAGGGCTTTTAGGGTTTTTTGGGCTTAGGGTTTTTAGGGCTCAGGGTGTTTAGGGTTTAGGGTTTCGGGTTTGGGGTTAGGCATTTGGGAGTTTTGGGGTTTTCGGGGTTAGGGTTTCATCAAGGCCAGGTCCGAAGCGCTCCCTTCCCTACGGTACGATCTCGGAGACAGGAGCAGTCTGGTAGCCTCGAAACTGCTATTTGCTTAAGAGCCCCAAAAGAATAAACAACTATCATCCCTATGTTGCCCTTAATAAGGAAGAATATACATCTTCTTATTTTTTCGGGGTTCTTAAGCAACTAGTACGAAAAAAACAAACGCAGCTCGAAAGATTGACGCTCCAAAAAAAAAGGTCCCGAAACCATGGACGGATCGTGCAGTCTACAGTCAACAAAGAGAAGTTCTATTCGGTACTAACCTTTAGGGTTTAGGGTTTAGGGTTGAGGGTTGAGGGTTTAGGGTTCAACCCCAAGGCAACACCCCCCCCCCCCCCTCCTGTCTTGCGCACTTCCGTGACTTCACATTCCAAAACGTAACTTCGAAACTCCCGAGATGCCGAGGTCTCAAATCTAAGCCCACCAAAGCCTTTAAGACCACAGCCATGCCCTAAACACTAACCCTAAACCCTGAACCCCAAACCCTGAACCCTAAACCCTGAACCCTAAACCCCAAACCCTAAACCCTAAACTTGCCCTAAACCCTGAACCCTGAATCCTGAACCCTAAACCCCAAAACCCTGAACCCTGAACCCTAGACTGAAAGGCTCCAAGCTGGTATGTGCACAGACGGGCCGCCTTCCGCTTAATGGCTCCCGTGTCTCATCCGAGCTGCTGTCGTCAAGCTGGCGTTCGGGGGGAGGGGGGGGAGGGGGGGGGAAAGGGTGGGGAGTAGGTCGAGAGTCTTTTGGGCGGGGTTTAGGGTTTCGGGTTTAGGGTTCAGGGTTTAGGGTTTAGGGTTTAGGGTTCAGGATTTTATGGCTTTTTTGGGTCTAGGGTTTAAGGTTTAGAAGCCCAAAGGAAGCCGAAGATCCCTGAGCCCTGAACCCGCACTTCCCCTAACCCTCAAGCCCCCTGCCTCCCCCCCAAAACATAGGGTTTAGGGTTTAGGGGGTTTAGGGGGTTTAGGGGGTTTAGGGTTTTTAGGGTTTAGGGTTTAGGGTTAGGGTTTAGGGTTTTGGCCGGGTGTAGGGCTTAGGGTTTAGGGTTCAGGGCTCGGGGCTTAGAAGAAAACGGGGGACTCCCAAAATTAGCAAGCCACAAAGTTTGGAGTTTACGGTTTCAGGTTTAGGGATACCCCGAGTCTTTACAACCTAGTCCTCGCAAAGCCCTGTGTCTTCTTACCCCAATTCTCCAAACCAGTTACCCTAAACTCTAAAACCTTAAACCTGAAAACCTGAAAACCTCAAAACCCAAAAACCCAAAAACCCAAAAACCCTTAACCCTAAAACCCTAAAACCCTAAAACCCTAAAACCCCAAAACCCCAAAACCCTAAAACCCTAAAACCCTAAAACCCTAAAACCCTCAACCCTAAAACCCTAGAACCCTAAACCGTAAAACCCTACACCCTAAACCTTTAAGAAAGCCCTAAACACCCTAACACAGTCCCCCACTCCGAAGCTCTTCTGCGAGCCGAAAGCACGAAAACCTTACAACAAGCCCGCCTCTGAAATCCTAGACCTTACACCTTTAAGAGCCCCAGAGGTTAAAAACCTTAAAACAAAAAACGTTCCCCCCCAGCACTTTAGGAGAAGCCCTTTAAGATCCGAAGACCCTGAAGTTCTCGGCTTTTGGGTTCTAGGGTTGGATGGGCTTGGGATCCCAGGTTTGGGATCCCAACACCCCAAAACGCGTGGTTCGGAGCGAGGGGAGTTCCGAAATGGGGCTCCCCCCCCTCCCCACCTCCCGCACCCTCCCTCCTCGACCTCACCCCACCCCACCCCACCCCACCCCACCCCCCCAAGCGCGAGGAAGGGCTCCAAACCTTTTTGGGTGAGGCGGAGCCTACTCTGAAATGCCCTCCTCCTGGTCACCGGCGCAGGCGAGGCGGATGGCGGCGATGGCCACCGGTCTCAAGGGCTGGTGTTTGATTCTTTGCCGGTGGGGGGGGGGGGAGGGTGGGGTTTTGAGGGTTTAGGGTTCAGGGTGTATTTTGTCTTGTTGTTTCTTGGTGGCGTGTGGCGGTGGTTCAGGCATTTCTCAGTGATCAAAAAGCAAAACACAAGGAACAGAAAAAAAAAAAAAAAAAACACGAAACAGCAAGGCAATAGAAGCAGAAGTCCAGGCGTAAAACTGTAAAACAAGAAACGCCTGCCAATAGTCCCTCTTAGGGTAGGTACATGGTCCCTTAAGGTGGGCCATTAAAAGGGGACCCCTTATATACCCCATATGTACCCTACACAGCCCAAGGACCCATACATCACAACCCATTAAAGAGGGCAAGGGACGATATTAAGGGTCCATGCATCTGCCCTGAGAGTCCCCAAATAATTGGGAAACCCTAAACCCTAAACCCTAAACCCTACACCCTAAACCCTAAACCCTAAACCCTAAACCCTAAACCCTAAACCCTAAACCCTAAACCCTAAACCCTACGTAAACCCTCAAGCTGCGGCGGCTGTAGCTGCAGCGGCTTTTGTTGAAGGAACCACAGAACAAGCCTACCGCTTCGTATGAGGAGCAGAACATCCGATCATGTTCGTGTTTAGGGTTTAAAGTTTAGGGTTTAGGGTTTAGGGGTGACATCATGAACCTCCTCGGATCTTATCTGGAAAGCTCAATTCTTGGCATATACCCGTTCATGGCTTGATCATTAAAACCCCCCCAACTTATAATGACAGTCCTTAACAGGGATTCTAGTGCCCCTATTATAATCCCTATGAAGGACTGTTAGTATAAGGGGGAACATCCCCAGAAATGATTTCTCAATGAAAGAAGCACAAGCCGGAGGCTGGGAACATGGCAAAGTAGGAGAACACCAAGCAACAACTGCAACAACTCAGCAAAACAAATCCCTGAATACTTCGGATTTAGTGTTGCGGCAGCGTTGACCAATGCGCACGCCTCCTTCGCTAGTTTGAGGCGCTGTTGTGTGATGACAGTCCTGCTGGTCCTCCTGCTTCTGCTGCTTCTGCTGCTGCTACTCCTGCTCCTGCTCCTGCTGCTGCTGCTGCTGCTGCTGCTGCTGCTGCTGCTGCTGCGGCTGCTGCGGCTGCTGCTGCTGCTGTACGTGACAGCTGAGGTTTGCCTTTGATCACTTGCTTGTGCAGCTTTCGGTTTTGGGGTTGTACGGTCTTAAAGCTTAGGTTTCTAGGGTTAAGTGGTGTAGTGTTGTAGGGTCTAGGATTGTTGGGCTTAGCGCTGGACCTTTCGCGCTGCTTTTCAGCAATGGCGGTCGTACAGAAGCCGACATCGTTGCGGTCGAGGGTTTAGGGTTCAGGGTTCAGGGTTTAGGGTTTAGGGCTATCCCTCAACCTCAATCTGTTGAAGAATCCTGATTCTGAACCCTGGAGCCTGAACCTCCGATGGGAAGGCCAGCCAAAGCAAGCATTGGGCACCCCGACACGGCGACGGCAGCAGCTGCACCACCTGGAAGGTCCGTTCAGATGACTTTCTTGGTAGCCCAGGGTTTAGGGTTTAGGGTTTAGGGTTTAGGCTTTAGGGTTTAGGGTTTAGGGTAACCATATTACAATGAGGGCATCCTTTTTTTGTTGGTTACTTTTCAAGAGAACCCAGAGCAAGAAAAGGGTGCAGGGTACCACTGGGCTACGCAAGCGGATTACTCTGGTACGGGCTTGGGGCGTCACGTGCCTTCGATCCTCCTCTGTAGAACTCCTCAGGGATGACATAGGGCACCTACTTCCCTAACTTCTGAACAACCCTAAACCCTAAACCCTAAACCCTAAACCCTAAACCCTAAATGAAACTCAGGGTTTTTGGCGGGCTGAGGGATTCTTGGCAGGGAGGCAGGGGTCATCGAGAGCTTCACAGGGTTGCCGTCAAGCAGGGCTACCTCGACCAGGGACCTCCCTGGGATCCAAAAAGGATACTGTGGGAAAGATGTAGGCTCCTGTATGAGGGTGTCCGAAGGAACTTATTCTACACAGATTTTTTGAGAGTCGCGCAAGGCGTTGCTCAATCTTTGGTTTGGGGCGCCGATGCTTAAAGGCTTAGAATCGTGCGAGGACCTGTGCATGCGGCTTAAAATCCTAAATCCGAAGCCCTAAACCTTGCAACCCTAAACCCTAAACCCTAAACCCTAAACCCTCCGAGTGACTGTTTGCATAAACCCTAAACCCTAAACCCTAAACCCTAAACTCTAAATCCTGCAGCCCTTGAAGCTTCTGAACCTCTGGGCCCCACGCCGAAGCCTTGGCCTGCGAGGCGCAGCAGCGCCACCTTGGCAATCCTTACATCCCAAAATTCAACCCTAAGCCTTAAGCCCTAAGCCCTAAAGCCCTAAGCCCTAAACCCTAAACCCTAAGCCCTAAACCCTAAGCCCTAAACCCTAAACCCTAAAACCCTAAACCCTAAACCCTAAACCCTATGGGCAGGGTTTGTATTTCCCGAATCTGACTCTGGGATTCTGGGATGTTTAGGGTTTCGGGTTTAGGGTTTAGGGTTTGGGGTTTAGGATCCTACCTCGTTAGAGTATCCCCCACCCCACCCCCGCCCCACCCACCGGATCATACCATGCCTGAATGCGGGGGCCCAGATGCGTTACCAGGAATCTGTGTTTAGGGTTTAGGGTTTTAGGTTTTAGGGTTTACGCGCACAACTGCCATCAATGCGTCATTTAAGGTCTCAGTAGCATTTTGTTACTTCTGGCTCTGAGTTTAGGGGCCGTTCCCGAACCTCTCTGGATTGCATCCCTCACTTAGGGGTTTAGGGTTTAGGGTTTAGGTTGAAGGTCTAGGGTTGACGGTTTAGGGTTTTGGGTTCAGGGCTTAGGGTAAGGTCAATCTTTTCGTGTCCAACTGGGATTAGAAGGGAAGACCAGGGAATAAGCGGGTATTACCCTGAACCCTAAACCTCTAAGGAGTTTAGGGTTGCTGTTACTGTTTTGGCAAGGCCCCACTTGACACTTGACCTTAAACCCCAAAACCTCCTAAACCTCCTAATGGACTAGGGTTTAGTGAATTGGGTGTAGGGTTGACCTAAACCCTAAACTGCAAACTTTAGTGAAACCCCAACTTAGGCTGAAAACCCTAGCCCAAAAAGGGTTAGCCTCTCACATACAGCAGGTTTCTGTATAACCAAAAAGGTTAGATGAAACTCGAAACTCACACCCAATGGCTGATCTTGCGGCAAAGCTTGCATTGTTGGAATAAGAAGCTCAGCCGTAACCCAATCCAAAAAGCAAAACCCCCCAATAGTACCCTATACTAGTTTTGGGTCATTCTTAGGAACCCTGAAGGGGATCTACTTTTTGGATCCTCCCAGGGGTCTGGCAAAACATGGCCTGCGATCGAAATGCTCATACCTTCCGTTTCCGTAGCAAGGACCCCCATGCGTAAAGTCCAACTTTCGAGCTTGTTTCCCGAAAAAAGAGTTCAACCCGGAAACCCTATACCGTAGAGCTTAAAAAGCTCTAAGCCCTTAAGCCCTAAACCTTCGGATGTTTCCCCATATTATACTACCAGTCCTTACTAGGGAGTATAGTAACATCCCAACCTACACGCTGTGTCTTTCCCAGCAAGGCAGGCACGACGGTGTCCACACAGGCAGGTCGTGTATGCAGCGTCTCCTGCTCAGAGGGCTTAGGGTCTAGAGGGTGCTTGAGTCTTACATCCATACAGCCCTAAACCCTAAACCCTAGCCCTAAACCCTAAACCCCAAACCCGAAACCCTGAAGGTCATCCCCACACTTCTGTAAGATCACCATAACCGCTTCCGATCCCGAGGCTTCGGCGCTGGTTTTCGGCCCTTACACCATTGTTTAGGGTATAGGGGCGCGGATTTTGAAGAGTTTAGCTGCCGCTCATGCGGCCAGGCTGCGCTTTTCTGCAGTCTGGTCCACGCCAGTGGCCACACTGTTGTTGTGCTGTGTTCCTGCGAAAATGGGGTTGGCCTCTGACTGGCTTCTCCTTGTGCAGACCGTGCTGTGTGCGTGTGGGAAGGATTGAAAAGCTCGAAAGAGCAGGAGAAGGGCCCTCTAGTATGCTCGATCAGGTGGGGGGCCATGCTTGGCATTGTGAGTCCCACGGGGCGCTCTTCTGCTCTGTATGGGCTGGGCGTCCACCCACTTGCTGGTCCCACATGGCTGGGCAGCAATCTGACCTTGCTTGCTGGAAACCCTCTGGGGCGCCCCGGGGTAGTTGCGAATGCAACCGGAGCTCCCAATGACGTTTATCGGAGGGGGCTGAGATGGCAGGCCGGACAGCGCGTTAGTCAGGCCGGATGCACGGCGAGCCGCTCACGCTCACACACACACACACAAGAGTTTAGGTTGGGATGTTCCCGCTTATACTAACAGTCCTTAATAGGGATTCTACTAGTACCCCCCATTAGAATCCCGAATCTAGGACAAATTTGTATAAGGGCCAACATCCCAAGGTTTAGGGTTAGGGTAAACCCCCAGCCCTAAACCCTAGACCTTAAACTTTGGGGCCCCCAATTACGGGGGTTGTGCCGCGGGTCAAAACGCCACTGAAGGGCGGAACGTAAGGTGACGCCCGTAGTGCCGATGAGCACCGAGACGAGAACGCTTTCCCTTAGCCAGGCGATCGCTGCTCGGCTCGTCTTGTCCTCCGCACTCTTCCACCTCGGTTTAGGGTTAGGGTTAAGGGTTTAGGGTTTAGGGTTTAGGGTTTAGGGGGTTTAGGGTTTAGGGTCTAGGGTCTAGCGTTTAGGGTTTAGGGTTTAGGGCCACCGTTGGTTCCTCGACCACATCCAACTCCTCCCCCACGACTGTGGGGCTCACCTCCTCAGCACCCAGGCCGTCACTCGTCTGCACTTCGCGCAAAGCTCCCCAACCTTTCCGAAGCCTTTTCAAGCAGAAAATCTGAACCCTTTTCTGCAGAAGGGTTCAGGGTTGTAGAGTTGTAGGGCTCAGGGTTTGGGGGTTTGAGGTTTAGGGCGTTTAGGGTTTGGGGTTTCAATACGTGAACAAGGCCTAATATCCAAGAAAGGGTGCGGGAACCGTAGAGACCTAAAACCTCTCATCCTCTGCTCCTGAAACCCGAGACGCTACCCTCCTTAAACCTAAGACTAACCCAAGAGTGGCCTAAGAAGAAAAAGGGGTGCCCTTTTTGGTTTAAATAGGCTTCCAAGGGAACCCAACCCAAATCAAGGGAATTAGGGGGTTTAGGGTTTAGGGTTCAGGATTTAGGGTTTAGGGCTAGGAGTATCTGGAAATATCAGATGCCTAAACCCGATAAGGGAACAATGCGAAACAACCAAAGGGCCTACCCAGTTTCTGAATCCTGAACCCTGAACTCAAGTCTCCTAAGCCGTATAAGGCCAAGCTCCTAGACACGGTGCGCTTGAACATGTAAGTGTAAGGCAGCGCAAGAAAATCACAATTCAACTAGCGGTGAAGTATCAGGCGTTCTACCTGCTGAGGCTACTTTCGTGGGGCTTATGCTTATGGTTCAAGACTGAATATTCTCCAAGCCTCCATGCTGGTTAGGCCAAACAGCGGCACCTACACCAATGCGCTTGGGTTGCGGGGTTCACCCTAACTTGGAGGTTCATGGTACTTATTAACCAATTATGACTGCACTTGTAACTGTACTTATACCCATATTAGGGCACTTAAGGGGCTTATATAAGTGGGTTATAAGTACAGTTACAATTCGCAGATAAGTACCATGAACCTCCAAGGACGTGTACCCAGATTCTGAGCTCTTGAACAGAGGCTGAGGAGTTGCCCTATTCTTGTTTTTACTACGCAGCTCCTCTCTCACTGGGTTTTAGGGCATTTCCCTAAGCCCTAAACCCTAATCCCTAAACCCTAAACCCTTCTTGGGCTTCTTGTGGGCTTGTGGGTTTCAGGGGTCGGGAGGTCGAAGCACCCAAGCGACCTCGCGGCCTAGAAGGAAACAGCCTTCGAACCCTCAAACTTCAGGGCTTAGGTGTTAGGGTTTTAGGGTTTAGGGTGTAGGGTTTAGGGTTTAGGGTTTAGGGTTTAGGGTTTAGGGTTTAGAGTAATTTTCCTGTACTTCTGAGGCACCCCCAAGCCTCGCTTAAGACCCCGAAGCATGGGTTAACTTCTTGGGGAGAGCTGCTGGGAGCTGGGGACTCAAGCGATGATGACCTGGCTTCGGGTTCAGGGAGTTAGGGTTTAGGATTTAGGGTTTAGGGTTCAGGGTTCAGGGTTTGGGAGTTTAGGGCTCAGGGAGTTGGGGCTTAGGGTTCAGGGTTTAGGCATGTTAGGGCTCAGGGAGTTAGGGCTTAGGGCTCAGGGTGTTTTAGGGCATTTTGGGGTTCAGGGCTTTGGCATAAGGTGAAGTTTTTGGATTGCATTTGGCTGGGTTGTGCTTTAAACCCTTCGAAAAATTTTATGATTCGGTTCCCTTATAAGGAAGGGAAACGAAAAATTATCGAAAAAAAACAACCCAGTTAGGGTCGTCGAGTTATTGAGCATTCTAGGCTCCTCTAAGGGTTTAGGGGTTCAGGGGTCCTCAAGGCGAAAACCCTAAACCCCAAGCCCTGAACCCCCATAAGGCCTTCGAACTTTTAAGAGGACTTAGTGGATTTGACCCTAAACCCTAAACACCCAAAACCCAAAACCCAAAACCCAAAACCCAAAACCCTAAACCCTAGGGTCTAACGGCGTTAAAGCACCATGCTGAGGCGCTGAAGCTTGCATTCCTCAACCGTCTTCAACCCTGGACTCTACGAAGCCCTCAAAAACTTCCCTGAGCCCGAACTAGGGTTTAGGGTTTCGGGTTTGAGGTTTAGGGTCAGGGTTTAGGGCTCAGGGCCCTAAGAACACCCCAGCACCCGAAATACCTTCAGGGTCTAGGGTTCGGGGTTCGGGGTTTGGGGTGTAGGGTTGAGGGTTTGTCTAGGGTTTCGCTGTCAGCCCCCTCCTTTTCCCTAAACCCTAAAACCTAAACCCTAGACTGAACCTGAAACCCTATCCCCCCCCCCCCCCCCCCCCCGGCAACAAAAAAAGAGGCCTCTGCTTTGCAGAAGCCACCGCAGTGGTAGGTAGCCTGCTGGGTCGGTTTAGGGCTTAGGGTTTAGGGTTTAGGGTTTAGGGTTTAGGGTTTAGGGTTTAGGGTTTAGGGTTTAGGAGCAGATGCCATGAAGGCTCAGGGTTAACGGTCCAGGCTTCAGGCTTCATGAGGGTTCAGGGTTTAGGGTTAGGGTTTAGGGTTTAGGGTTAAGGGTTTAGGGGAAAGGGTTTAGGGTTTAGGGTTTCGGGTTTAGGGTTTGTTTGGGCGCGGTTTCCCGCGTTTTTTACCGAACATCCTCCAGGGAGAAGTTGCTAAGCTCCACTCGTTTAGGGTTTAGGGTTTAGGGATTGGAGTTTGTTGCCTAAAGAGGACCCTCATCCCTAAACCCTAAACCCCAAACTCAGGAGGGGGGGGGGGGGGGGCACATGCTAGACTCTGGGTTGGTAGATGACTTTATTGTAACTACCCAAGAAGGTCGCCCAGGAGCTGCCCTACCCTAAACCCTGAACCCAAAACCCTAACAACCCTAGAATGCCTAGAAACCCCAAACCCTAAACCCTACAACCCTACAACCCTAAACCCTACCACCCCCCCCCCCCCCCCCCCCCCCCCCCCCCCCCCCCCCACCACCAAAAGCTCGGCTTTTTTTTCTTTTTTAAACCCGAAACCCGAAACCCTAAACCCCAAACCCGAAACCCTCAACCCTAAACCCTAACCCTACCCCCTCCTCTCCCCCCCCTCTCCAGAAGCTCGGCTTTTCTCCTCTCTGCAGTGCGCCGGGCGCTGCGCCGGCCACGTAGGTCGTGGGCGGGGCAGGACCAGCGCCCGGAGGTGCCGACGCAGGCCTGAGTTTAGGGTTTAGGGTTTAGGGTTTAGGGTTTAGGGTGAGGACCGGAAGGCTAGAGAAGGGTTCAGGGTTGTAGGGTCTAGGACTTTAGCCAAAGCCAAACGAACCTATGCCGGCCGAGCCGAGCGGTGCAAATTCAAAATACCCGAAACCCAAAGCCCTAAACCCCAAACCCCAAACCCTAAACCCTACTAAAACCCCAAACCCCAAACCCTACTAAAACCCATGTGGTAGGACACTTTGTCAGCTTCACCCATTCATGCGGGTCGCTTCAAGCGAACTAATAACAAGCACCTGAGCCGGACGTGCAAGGCTGAGAAAAATCCACTGAAAGGCTTGGCTGCACTTAAGAGGGTGGTAAAAAATCAAACTTTTAGCTGCCTTAATAAAAAACCCAATAAACCCAAACACGGTAAGGATCTAAAGTTACAGTAAAGTACCACAAAGGAAAGGATCCTTGCAGCACTTTGAGAAGAGAGACGGCCAACCCTGCCACAAGCTCAAAGCCTGCAATCCTTGTCATTCTAGGACCCCTAAACCCTAAACCCTAAACCCTAACCCCAAACCCTAAACCCTCAGGAAACTCCCAAATTCCAAGAGATTTCAATCATTCAACACGCTCGGCCCCCCAAAAGTCCAAGCAGCAAGCTCCAGACAAGCCCATAACAACAGAGCTTTCTATCCACGGACAGACGCCTTAAACCCTAAACCCTAAACCCTAAACCCTAAACCCTAAACCCTAAACCCTAAACCCTAAACCCTAAACCCGAAACCAAGCCCCCGGCGGGGCTCCGCAGACCGGAGCAGCGCCGGCTCCGGTATGTACGCCTCGCGCCTGCTTCGCGTGTCATCCTAGAAGCCCTAGGTCCCTTAAGGGCTCAGGGTTCAGGTTTCAGGGTTTAGGGTTTTCAGGTTTCGGGTTTTTAGGATTTTAGGGTTTAGGGTTTAAGGTTTAGGATTTTCTGGTTTAGGCTTAAGGGCTCAGGGTTCAGGTTTCAGGGTTTAGGGTTTTCAGGTTTCGGGTTTTTAGGATCTTAGGGTTTAGGGTTTAAGGTTTAGGATTTTCTGGTTTAGGCTTAAGGGCTCAGGGTTCAGGTTTCAGGGTTTAGGGTTTTCAGGTTTCGGGTTTTTAGGATTTTAGGGTTTAGGGTTTAAGGTTTAGGATTTTCTGGTTTAGGCTTAAGGGCTCAGGGTTCAGGTTTCAGGGTTTAGGGTTTTCAGGTTTCGGGTTTTTAGGATTTAGGGTTTAGGGTTTAAGGTTTAGGATTTTCTGGTTTAGGCTTAAGGGCTCAGGGTTCAGGTTTCAGGGTTTAGGGTTTTCAGGTTTCGGGTTTTTAGGATCTTAGGGTTTAGGGTTTAAGGTTTAGGATTTTCTGGTTTAGGCTTAAGGGCTCAGGGTTCAGGTTTCAGGGTTTAGGGTTTTCAGGTTTCGGGTTTTTAGGATTTTAGGGTTTAGGGTTTAAGGTTTAGGATTTTCTGGTTTAGGCTTAAGGGCTCAGGGTTCAGGTTTCAGGGTTTAGGGTTTTCAGGTTTCGGGTTTTTAGGATCTTAGGGTTTAGGGTTTAAGGTTTAGGATTTTCTGGTTTAGGCTTAAGGGCTCAGGGTTCAGGTTTCAGGGTTTAGGGTTTTCAGGTTTCGGGTTTTTAGGATCTTAGGGTTTAGGGTTTAAGGTTTAGGATTTTCTGGTTTAGGCTTAAGGGCTCAGGGTTCAGGTTTCAGGGTTTAGGGTTTTCAGGTTTCGGGTTTTTAGGATTTAGGGTTTAGGGTTTAAGGTTTAGGATTTTCTGGTTTAGGCTTAAGGGCTCAGGGTTCAGGTTTCAGGGTTTAGGGTTTTCAGGTTTCGGGTTTTTAGGATCTTAGGGTTTAGGGTTTAAGGTTTAGGATTTTCTGGTTTAGGCTTAAGGGCTCAGGGTTCAGGTTTCAGGGTTTAGGGTTTTCAGGTTTCGGGTTTTTAGGATTTTAGGGTTTAGGGTTTAAGGTTTAGGATTTTCTGGTTTAGGCTTAAGGGCTCAGGGTTCAGGTTTCAGGGTTTAGGGTTTTCAGGTTTCGGGTTTTTAGGATCTTAGGGTTTAGGGTTTAAGGTTTAGGATTTTCTGGTTTAGGCTTAAGGGCTCAGGGTTCAGGTTTCAGGGTTTAGGGCTTAGGGTTTAGGGTTTAGGGCTTAGGGTTTAGGTTTCAGGTTTCAGGGTTTAGGGTTTACGGTTTAGGATTTTAGGGTTTAGGGTTTTGCGATTGGCCGGGGCCAGCGATTCGCAAGGAAATCCTGGTCGCTCCAGACATCGTGCCCAAGCCGGGTGAGCTCCAGTGGCTCAAAGGGGTGCGGCCCATCACCCTAAACCCTAAACCCCAAACCCCAAACCCTAAACCCTAAACCCTGAACCCATGAGCTGAGCTCGATGTCAGGGCTGCTGTCACGCCGGCCTGAGCGTTGGCCAAGATGATTGGCACCAGACCTTTGAGACTCTCAAACTCTGGGGTGGCCGATGTCTAGGCTGCCCAGTAACCTAGGCTTGAAAAGGGTACCCGGTTTAATAAGGGAACCTAAACAACCAAAAAAAGGGAATAAGGGTACCATGACATGTCCGGCGGTACGCTGGACCGCTCCGCGGCGGTTAGGTCAGCGGCCGAACCCAGGGTGTCATGAAGGATGAAGGTCTTTTCAGGGCACCGGGGGCAGGGGCCCGCGCAAGAGCTCAAAAAAACATCAAGGTTGAAATATTCATAGGTAGAGAAGGTTTAGGGCTTGGGGCTTAGGGCCCTAAACCCTAAACCCTAAACCCTAAACCCTAAACCCCAAACCCTAAACTCCAGGATGGTGTAGGGTTTCGGGTGGGACTTGCCCAAACAGCCCAATTCCCCCCGTCAGTCGGGGATGAGACCTTGAACTATCTAGGTTTAAGGGCTTAGGCGTTTAGGGGTTTAGGGTTCAGGGGTTCAGGGGTTTAGGAGTTTAGGGGTTTAGGGGGTTTAGGGGGTTTAGGGGGTTTAGGGTTTTGGGTGATTATGAAGGGACTCGGCCTCGGACCCCTAAGGTTGCACCCTCGGGTTTGGGGGCCCTTTTTAAAGATCCTCCGTAGGGAATAGAAGGGCCAAATGAGGAGTATATGATTAAGGGTGACCTTCAAGGGTACAACCTTAGGGGTTTAGGGTTTAGGGTTACCCTAAACCCTAAACCCTAAACCCTAAACCCTAAACCCTAAACCCTAAACCCTAAGCCCTAAGCCCTAAGCCCTAACCCTAAACCCTAAACCCTAAACCCTAAGCCCTCAGCCCTAAACCCTAAACCCTAAACCTAAAGTACAAAGCTGTTCGGGCCGCCAAAAGCTACAACATGTACTGGTTACTTACACACCGAGCCGAAGGTTAGGATTTAGGGTTTAGGGTTGATACACTTTTAAGGTAGAAGCTCCCGCAGCGTCCGCCTAAAGTTAAAATCGTAGTATCAACTCGCCTAAGCCCTCACCCCCAAAAACCCTAAACCCTAAAATCTACATAAACCCTAAACCCTAAACCCTAAACCCTAAACCCTAAACCCTAAACCCTAAACCCTAAGTCGCCTGCAGCCTTCATGCAGAACCGAGCCGACTTGGCAGATGTGCGGCGGCAGAAGCTGTTCGGAGTCCCTCGGAACCACGAGGAAACTGAGGGCTTCTGGCTTTTAAGGGGGTGTTTAGGGTTTTGGGGTGGTTTGGAGGTTTTTAGGGTTTTAAAGGAGACTTCGGATTCTTAGGTTTTTTTAGGGTTTCGGGCGTTAGGGCGGGTTTTGGGCTTTAGAAGAGGTTCATGGTTTAGGGACTGAAGCTTGAAGAAGTCTGTGGAGTGGAGGTCTGTGGGCTTCTGAGCTTTAGGGTTTATGCCTCGGGGCTGAGGGTTCAGGGTTGAGGGTTCAGGGTTTGGCGGAGCTTAAATGACACAGAGATTGTGCCAGCTTGTGCGGAGCCGTGGATACAAGATCCTCACACCGCTCCCTTATCCGTCAGCCGAGCGAATCTCTAACAAACTAGCTGAGACCGTGCAACGGCATTGCGCTGCAAGCTGCCCTTTGTTGACGGCCCCATTTTTGTCTTGGGATTCAGATTCTAACCCAAAGACTCCAATACCCCTTAGTTATACCCCTTAGTTGAGGCATGTTCCTTGGCTCGTACTATCAGCATTACTTTGGCAATGTATTGAGCCTTCCTTAAGCCATTCAGGGGTGCTGAGTCCTGAGGAATAGGTCTCGCTCAAGTAGAGAGGGCCTGGGCACAGCCCTAAACCCTAAACCCTAAACCCAAACCCCTAGACCCTAAACCCTAAACCCCAAATTTGCCAGGATGCCAGTCCGAGTGGCTTCGCCAGGCCAAGGAACCTTGGCGGTGGTGGGGTGGGGGTGGGGCGTTTGGGGGGTTTAGGGTTTAGGGTTTAGGGCTTAGGGTTTCAGCCTCTCGTACCATTTCTATCAGAAAAAGCCAAATCAGGCTTCATATCTGAGGCGGCTTTCGGGCTCTTTGGATGTTGTACGGGTAGAAATTGCTGCCGCAGAAACTAAAGTCAGTTCCTTCAAGGTTGCCTCCTCAGCACCTAAAGGTTCACACCCTGAACCCTAACCCTAAACCCTAAACCCTAAACCCTCTTGGAGCTCAGGGCTTCGCCCGACCCCATAGCCTCAACCTTTAGAGACAGCCCCCCCCCCCCCCCCCCCCCCCCCCACCCTCGCCTCCCCTTCTTTTGAATTTAGTGCACCAACCATCGCCAACCGCCTGAAACCCAAAAACTCCCTGGACCCAGTACCCCTTTATTCGCGGGGAGCCTCGGGGAGGGGAAGGCAACACACTACCTTTAGGGTTTAGGGTTTAGGGTTTAGGGTTTAGGGTTTAGGGTTTAGGGTTTAGGGTTTAGGGTCACCTATCAAACTGTCAGAAGGAGTGTGTACAGTTTATGAGCTTCTAGGGCGAAGGACAAAAGTACGGGTCCGAGTGTAGAGGCTTACAAGATGATGGCCGAGTCTCCTCCTGTTCCCTCGAGCTCCTTGTGGCGGGCTCTAAACCCTAAACCGGTTTAGGGTTTAGGGTTTAGGGTTTAGGGTTTAGCAAGTTGATGCCTTCTGTTTGGGTTTAGGACTTCAGCGGTGTTTGGACTTCGACGGTGTGTCAGGGACAAGCTAAACCCTGAACCCTACCACGGCAAACAGACTTGAGAAAAACCAGGAACTAAGGGGCAATGGGGTGGGTTTAGGGCTTTAAGCGAGATTTTCCCATGCTCGTAAGCCGAAACCACCACCTTAAACTCCTCCCCACCCATGTGCGTCGGAGGCAAAGACGCCTCCAAATGCAAGGGAACCAAACTTGCCTACACCCTAGGTCTCGGGTTGGGGGTTCAGGGCCCCAAGACCCTGAACCCTGAGCCCTGCAAGGGTTTAGGGTTTAGGGTTTAGGGTTGAGGGTTGAGGGTTTAGGGATTAGGTGCACTCCAACCGGAGATGATTTGGGGCCCGGGCCCTACACAATCTTCGACTCATGGCCTTCCAACTAAACCCCAAAAGCCCAAACCCCCCAAACAGCAAGCCCCCTAAACCCGAAAAGTCCAGGTCCCCCACTCATGAAAGGGAAGTTACGTGGGGACCCCTGTAATACACCGAATATACCCCCTAAAAACTAGAGGCCCGTACTTTTAACCCTTTAACGAAGGTGGGGACCCCAATTTAAGGGACCATGTAACTACCCTAAACCCTAAACCCTAAACCCTAAACCCTACCCTTAGAGAATTCAGCTTCAGGAGATGGAGGGCCAAAGGTCAATATAAGGGACCATGTAACTACCCAAAACCCTAAACCCTAAACAATAAACCCTAAAACCTAAACCCTAAACCCTAAACCCTAAACCCTAAACCCTACACCCTAAACCCTACACCCTACACCCTAAACCCTACACCCTACACCCTAAACCCTAAACCCCACCCCCCCCCCCCCCGTTGGGCAAGGCGGTGTCCTGCACTAGCTCGGCCTTGGTGGCTGTGATGGACTGCACGGCGACCTCGGCTCGAGGGCCTAAACCCTAAACCCTAAACCCTAAACCCCAAACCCTAAACCCCAAACCCTAAACCCCAAACCCTGAGCCCCAAACTCCAAGGGGCTCTGAGTGTTGGGGCTTAGGTGGCAGAGCTTCCCCGCCATGAAACTTATTGCCACTTTCCGATTAGTGGGAGAGGGGGGGAGGGGGGCGGAAGGGGAAGGGCTAGTTGAATCACAGCAAAAAAGAAGTGCCTAAATGTGCACCCTTTTTCTCGATGTACACACTCCTTCTTGTATACTTATACTCACTATCTACACATACATATGCATCTGCAAAAAAGGGCTGCCCCCCCCCGCCGAGGACGGAGCCAGACGCCCATCTTGTCGCCAGTCCAGGCAAGCCTGGGCGTTTGGGGGGGCGACGAGGGGGCGGGGTGGGGTTAGGGTGTTGTTTACATTTTGTTTGTGTGGGGTGGGGTTGTTTGTTTGTGTGCGTGTGTGTGTGTGTGTGTGTGTGTTGGTTGGGGTTTGTGGGCATTTGGGTTGCGTATAGTCTGCTAATTGGGCGTAGGGTGAAAGAAGTAGGGCAGGGTGTTGTGTTAGTAAGGGTGTAGGGCATGGGAAGGGGCGGGCTGAGGGTGTAGGGTGGCATTTGGGGGAGGTTGTGGGGAGCTTCTGGGGCAAAATTCCTCCGAGCCAATAGAACCAACCTAAACTCCAAACCCCAAACCCCAAACCCCAAACCCTAAACCCTAAACCCTAGACCTGCTGATTGCTCAACCTCTCTGGCAAGCCCAAAGCCTAAACTTACTTGTTCTTCGGAAGGAAACAGGGAAGATGGGTCCCGATATACTCCATTACAGGGTTACATAGGTGGATGTACATCACCCTTAACTCAGGGCCTAGGCCGCCCCCCTACAGAGGGGGGCGGCGCTTAAGCCCGACCCAGGTCGTCCGCCCGCCTCGCACAGCTCGGGAGTCGGTAGCATCTAGGTGGGGCCCGGTACCGGAACCCGATGAGGTGGCTGTAGCGGGGGGTGCCCCGAGGGCCCCAGCCCAGGGGGTCCCCCGCTCGCCGCAGCGTGCCCAAGGACCAGAAGACCTCAGGCCAGGCCAGGCGGGGTGGGTCCTTTCGGGGTCAAGCGTGCCGTGTGGAGCCTTCAAAGTGGGCCTACTGCATTGCGCCCTCGCTTTCCTGGTTGCCCCTGGGCCTTGTGGCTTTTTTGTGAGCCTGAACCAGGCTGGCGACCACCGCGACGGAATGAAGAAGCTTTATGGAAAGTGAGCAGTTGGCTTGAGTTTAGGCCTAAACCCTAAAAGGAATAGGTTTGGGTGGCTTTGCCGCCTCGGACGGCGTGGGGTGGGAGAAAAATGTTAGATGGCCTTCCGCAATCGGGCCAAAGCTGCTCTTCGCGCCTCACGAAGCTTTCGAGCTTGTTCCAAAACCTAACCTCCACAGCATCTACGCCCTATCACAGGAAACCCTAAGCCTAAACCCTAAACCCTTAACCCTACAACCCTACAACCCTATAAACCCCTGAGCCGGGCCGCTGTGCGCGACCACGGCCGCGCAAAGTGGGAGGACCACATGTCCTCTGCTCGGCTGCCCAAGGGTTCAGGGCTTAGGGTTCAGGGTTGAGGGATTTGGGGTTTTGGGAGTTTAGGGTCCTCAACCCTAAACCCTAAACCCTAAATACGCTAAACCCTGAACCCTCAATCGACGCCAACGGCCTCAAACTCTTTTTGATGCCTCCCCTCCCAGCTCTGACCCTCGCCCAAGCCCTGTCCATGCAGAAGACGAGAGTGCGCGGCGCGCCCGCGCTGACCGCAGTCTTCTGGAAGTCCTGTAGGGGGCATGTCCAAATTCAAGGAAACCAGCAGGCATATTTAGCGTTGAGGGTCTTTACGGCTGGAAACTCGGAAATTTGGATGTATAGTTGTTACGTTGCAAATTCACAGTGCATGGATTTTGAGTTTGGGGCTTTGTGGCTTTTAGCTGTCATTGCATTGGCGGGGCCATTTTTGGGCGGTTCCCTTCTAGCGTGGTTTCCCTAACCCTATGCCCTAAACTTCCCTAAACCCCAATCCCCTCCGCGAAACACGTGGAGAGACACTGACTGGTATATTCAGAGCTTTGGGACAAAGGGGCCTTGCAAGAACCCTTAAACCCTGCGGTTTAGGGTTTAGGGTTTCAGGATTAGAGTGTAAAGAAAGCCAGCAGTGCTGCACTCTAGCGTGAGATCCTGAATCACACCGGATGGGCCCTTAATTGGGGAACTCTTGTATACCTCTTAGATACCCGAAGCGCCTAAACTAGGCCGGGGCAGTGGGTTACAGGGGCGGCGACTGCACCATCTGGAAACCCCAAAACCCTAAAACCTAAACGTAACTCTAAGCCCTTCTAAGATACAAAGTGCGTGGTTTGGGGTTTCCCTGTTTGCACCGGCATTGGGGTTTAGGATTTAGGTCTAAGCGTCACATTTCCAAAGCCCCAAACGCCCTAAGCCCCAACACCCCTAAACCCTAGACCCTAAAAAGTCCTAAACCCTACAAGCCCTAAACCCGAAAGTCCTAAAGCCCTTAAAAACCTGCTCCCAAACCCCCTCGCCCTAAGCCCAAACCCTACACCCTACACACTAAACCCTAGACGTCCAAAATCCTAAAACCCTAAACCCTAAAACCCCAAACCCTAAACCCTAAATCCCTAAACCCTAAACCCTAAACCCCAAACCCTAAACCCTAAACCCTAAACCCTACAAGTCCTCAACTCCCCAAGCCCCAGGGCAGCGGGGGGCCTCCGGGATGATCTCCTCCGGCCCGGCCCCAGAGAAGTCCACCTCCTTGGGTTTAGGGTTTAGGGTTTAGGGTTTAGGGTTTAGGGTTTAGGGTTTAGGGTTTAGGGTTTAGGGTTTAGGCTCCGGGGATGGCTTTAGTAAGCTGTTGTTCTGAAACCATGACTATGACTATGACTAGTATTACCGTTATGACTACTATCGGTATTGTTATGGTTATTAATACTAAGATTCTTATTATTGTTGCTACTATTGTTATTGCTATTTTTGCCACTATTTTTTCGATCAAACTGTTGCTGTTAAACCACTACTATTATTCGTATGACTGTCACTGTTTGTGTTATCAACTGTTGGGTTCGGGGGCTATTGGGGCGAACTTAGGGTCTAGAGCTGGTGGGTTTGCGGATCTTCTTTTTGAGGTTTCGGGTTTAGGTTTGGAGCTTTTGGGGCTTGCAGGGCTTTGCGCCTTAAATGCCTCCATAGCTGAAACCCTAAATCCTAAACTTTGTCTGGAGCTGAGGCTACTTGGCGATGGCTCGATCTGAAGGAACCCGAAACCCTAAACAATAAACCCTATACCCTAAACCCTAAGTAAGCCAGGCCCTTGGCCCAGTTGAGGCGATGCTCTCTGCACACCCGAAGATCCTAGCTTAGGGCTAGAGTTTAGGGCTTAGGGATCAAGGTGGAGGCTTCAGGGTGTTGCGGGTGCAAGTCTTTGAGTTGAGGGTTGAGGAGTGTAGGCTTGAGGAGTGTAGGGTTGAGGGTGTAGGGATTTTAGGGGTGTAGGGTTTAGGGTTTAAGGTTTAGTGTTTGGGGTTTTAGGGTTTAGGGCTTGGGGATCAGGGCTTTGGGTTTACGGTGTAGGGTGTAGGGTTCAGGGCTTGTCGCTTCAAGTTGCGGAGATCTGTTTGAGGGCCTGGGGTTTCGGGGAGTCTGCTTCGAATGCGCAGAAGGTCTTAAACCCTGCGCCCTAAGCCCTAAACCCTAAACGGGTTTCGAGTAGCGTGGGGGGACAGGCTGTCGAGGCATTTCTGGGCTCCCATCTTCCCTCCTCGTCCGGACCCTCCCAAACCCTGAGCCCGAAATTTAGGGTTTAGGTTTTAGGGTTTAGGGTCCTGAACCCGAAATTTGCCACAGACCTACAGTGCTAAGGAAGTCAGTTGCTGAGTTCATAAGCCCCAAGAGAGTGTACACTTTCAGTTCTATAGGGGATTCTAGTATCCCAAAAAGAGTGTAAAGTGTGCTCACTCGGCTACGAAGGGAAAGCCCTCATCGTCGACAGCCGAGGCGCCGTGGCCCACGTGATTGGAGTGGTGCGGAGCTTTTCCTTCCTGGGTGGTTTAGGGTTTAGGGTTTAGGGTTCAGGGTTTGAGTAGAATGCTTCGGAATTTTAAGGTTTAGGGTCGAGGGTTTAGGGCTTCACATGAAGCATACTTGAAGGTCAGGGTACTTTTAAGTGGGGTTGAGGGCTTCTGGTATTCTTGAAGGTACTGATAGGTAGGTTGTAAGTAAGTAGGGTAGCTGTGGATCTAGCCCTGAACTGTAACTATTCAAGAAACACCTGTGGGATGAACTTGCCTAGACAAAGGTCAACGTCGCTGCCCTTGATTCACCCCATTCTGTGATTCTTACTGTATCTTTACTTCGCAGTCCCTGCGGGAGGGGGCGGCAGGGGGGGTGGGGGGGGGGGGGAGGTGGCGGGGAAGTTTCTCAACTGCTCCGTCACAGCCCAGCCGCACAGTTCTGAAGGTGCCTCGCGCAACAAAGCTGGGGGCTTGTGTGTGTGTGTGTGTGCCTCTGTCTGTGTGTGTGTGTGTGTGTGTGTGTAGAGAAGCCCCTCCTTCCTGATGCTAGCATCCCAGAATAGGCCTTGATGTGTGATACCAGCTATACCTACACGGTTCGTCTTGCTTATGCAGGAGGGAGAGGCCGGGGGACGGGGAAGAGGGCTCATATGGTCTCGGAAAAGTGGGGTTTGAACGACGGTTCTCAGTCTGCGTTCATCCCAAGCCCTAAACCCTAAACCTTAAACCCTAAACCCTAAACTCTCAACTCATCCCTGAAGTCTAGGACCTCATCCCCAAGCACATAAAACTCTGAAGATAACCCTAAACCCTAAACCCTAAACCCTAAACCCTAAACCCTAGACCCTAGACCCTAAACCCTAAAACCTCCAGGGTTTAGATTCCTTCCGGGGGCCTGCGTTCGTCAGCCAGCCTTCCCCATAAAGTAGAGACGCGAACCTAAGGCGTGCGCGTACTTGGAGGGCTGGGGGATCTTAAGGGGGTGTTTGGGTCTAGGGATTAGGGCTTAAGGCTCCAAGGGTTTTTAGGGCATGCTTTTGGGTTTTTAGAGACGAGGGTTAAGGGATTTGACGAGTTTTCGGACTAGGTTTGAGGATACCCTAAACCCTAAACCCTAAACCCTAAACCCTAAACGGGATTTTAGGGATTTTGGGGGCTTATCAGGATCCGGAGCCCGGAAGCCTAAGTTGCAGGGTTCAGGTTCTGGGCGCCCTCCGGGCAAGTTCGCAACTAGACCCAGGAGAGGGTGTAGGGTTTAGGGCTTAGGGTTTAGGGTTTAGGATTTAGGGTTTAGGGTTTAGGGTGACTCAGGAGTAAGCTAGGTATGAAAAGGGTAGCCTTTTTGGTTTCAAGGGGGTTATCAGCGCTCCCCAACCCTAAAAAAAGGAAATAAGGGCCTACTCCGGGTCCTAGGCAAACATGTTGAGTTTTTGTTCGAGTGGGGCTGTATGAAGATGAGTCGATGCCCTGAAAGAGATCATCATGTGCCGGGTTGTTCTGAACTTCCACCTCAAATTTAACATTCAACGCCCCCTAAACCCTAAAGCTTAAATCCTAAAGCCCCAAACCCCAAAGAGCCCTTAAACAGGCTCCTCAAAACTTTGCCCCCCCAGAAGCCTCCCTTGCACTTTCTTCAGGTCCTTGAAAACAGCCCTAAACAGGTGGTGTTCCAGCACAAAAGAGAAGACAACAACACCAAAGCAACCCAACAAACCAAAAGTTCGGACCCAAGCCCAATCCCTAAACCGGTGCGCCCGAAGCCCCCAGCCCAGAACCCTAATCCCTAAAGGCAAACCCGTGTGGCCGAGAAGAAGGACTTAGTGATATCAGCCAGTCCTGCAATTGCTGTCTTGAGGCCGCCTTCGACTTTAGTGCCATGCCAAGCAGTCAAAGCGTCCTCTTTGAGTTTCTCTTCGACTTGTGGCGGCATGGCTCAAAACACCCTAAACCCTAACCCTAAAGCCTAAAGCCTAAAGCCTAAACCCTAAACCCTAAACCTTGATGGAGAGTCCGATCTCCTGCGCCTTGTCATCATCCTTGTATTCCGCTGGCCCCAGGGGACGGCCAGCCGCCATGGCTCAATAAACCCTAAACCCTAAACCCCAAACCCTGAACCCTAAACGCTCGTCCAGGGCGCCGGTCTCCCGGCAGGCGGCCCTGTGGGCCCAGGCCTGGAGTGAAGTTGAGACTAGGTCTGTTGGGTTTAGGGTTTAGGGTTTAGGGTTTAGGGTTTAGGGTTTAGGGTTTAGGGTTTAGGGTTTAGGGTTTAGGGTTTAGGGGTTACGGAAAACATGTTGGGTTAAGGGCAAATAGGGTATAGGGTTTAGGGTTTGCTGCTTTGAGTCTGGGTTTGGGGGGTTTGGGGGGTTTAGGGTTTATGGGTTTGAGGCTTGATTTAGGATGTGAAAGTGGGGCTAGATATATCTGTATACATGCACACAAAGGTATAGTTCAGATGTATACGTCTATATATGTATATATACCAAAGCTATAGTGGAGTCCTTTCTTGTAGTTCTTCGAGTACACACAGAGTGGCTGCAATTTGTTGGCTTGTGTCTTGTTTAGGGTTTAGGGCTTAGGGTTTCGAGGATGGGGCTGCCAATGCCCTGACTGAAGGCGTTCCTTCTCCAGTGCGACTTGCTCTCAACGGCGCATAAGCTTGTTGTTTGCAAGCCGCAAATAGGGTGGTATAAACATGACACATACACTCGCACTTGTATGCTTGTCCAGACAACGAACCTCTTAGACAACAGAGGTATTTGAGAGTCATATTCAATAGATGAGATTTAGTGATGAGTTTGGCATTTTGGGGTGAGCTTAGGTTGTTCGGGGCCCTCAGGCCTGGACATCCCTTTGGGGCGTGCCGGAGCTTGCTTGCAGGTACACAGGTACGAACGCAAGCACATGAAACGCTTCGGGTGAAGAGCAAATGGCCCTGCGTAGCCCCTAAACCCCTAAATCCCAAACCAGAATGGCCCAGAACTCTAAACCCCTAAACCCCTAAACCCTGAATCTCGAACACCTGAACACCTCAAACCCTTAAACTCCTAAACCCTAAACCCTGAAACCCTTAAACCCTTAAGCCCTTGAGCCTTTTTACCCCTTAAACCCCTAAACCCTCAACCCTGAACCCCGAAGCGCCTGTGCGCGCAAGGGTGCCAAAGCGACGGCGATCTTCACAGGGAACCTGAGCTCTCCCCACCATGGGAGGATCTGGGTTTGAGTTGAGAGGTTTAGGGTTTCGCGTCTAGGGTTTAGGGTTTCGCGTCTAGGGTTTAGGGTGTGGGGTTTAGGGTTTGGAGTTTGGGGTTTTGGAGTTTGGGGTCTTATCAGGGCTTCGGGCTTTGAATTCCGTGTTAGATCGGGCCTAGGTTTCAATTGTGGCTTAGCTTTTATGTTCAGGGCTTCAGGTTTCAGGGTTGCGGGGTGGAGGGCTGAGGGTTTGTGATTTCGGGGACTCAGGGTGCTGAAATCCAGACAGTCCAAAGTTCCTTTATGCACCAAATGTGAGAACCCACCCGCACAATGGGGGTTTCCGACAGCAGGGATACCCTTTTTGGGGGTCCCTTTAAGGGGATTCTATTCTATTTGGGGTATAAAACGGTTACCCCTACTTTGAAAAATGCCCAAATCATCAGCACAAGCTGTAGATCATCTGACGAACATGGCGGCACGCAACTCTGCCCGTTCCTTGGAGTGCCCTCTTCTGTTTGTACACGGCCGTCACCACAGATTCTAGACCCAAAAGTAACCTAGCAACAGAAAGGGCTTAGATTTTCGGGTTTGGGGTTTAGGGTTTCCCTAAACCCTAAACCCTTTTTGGTTTAAAGGGGCTTCTGACGGAACCTGATCCCTGAAAAAAGCCAAACAGGGCCTACATCGGGTCCTACACCCTAACCTAAAACCTAAACCCAAGTAATGGGGACCACGTGAACCCTAAAATAGTCAGAGGGAGGCATGCTTTTTTTCCAATGCTTCGCCCGAGCGGTGCCACCGAAAAATCCCTGTACCCCACCCTACGTTTTTGAACAATTTTTTTTGAAAATCCCCAATTACCACATCCCACCTCACCCAATTTAACCAACAATAAACCGAAAATTTATAAAAAATTATCTCCAAACCAACTTTCAAAACCACCCCCTAACTCATAAACCCGAAATTCACGATTTTTTAAATTGAAATTTCTATTCAATGTTCTTTGTCGTTGAATAGAATTTTCATTGGTAATTTACCTTACATAAAAATTGTTGTTCGATGTATTCTTTTACGTCGTCGTCTTCAATTTTGTTTATGTCAATGTCTATATTTTTCAAATCGTCTATCTCTTTCGCAAATAATTTCTCTTGATGGTGTTGTGATTTTTCGTGTTGTGCTTTCTTATAAAATTTCACATCATATTTACAAATAGGACAATGATGTATTAATTTCATATATTCTTTTCTATATGCCTGCAATTGTTCTTGGTGGGTTTCTCTGTATTGTTTTTTTCGTTCTGCGATTTGTTCTTTGTGTGTCTCTCTGTATTGCTTGTCTTTAACCTTGATTTTTTCTGGATTGTCTGCGTATTTTTGTCTTTGTTTTTGTCTGCATCCATCGCAACATTTGAAATTGTCGGAAAACTCCCACCATTCTCTATTTACATTGCAACCTTTACAAAACCTTTTGGACATCCCTATTAGTATATGGTATTATCTCTTTAAGTCCATACCATATACCACATTTTTTAATCAAATAAAAAACATTTCAATAAAGAGTATTTATTTATTGAAATGTTTTGAAGTTTGTTTATTTTTTAAATATTTGTTGCCTATATAAATCTTTGAGGTCTTGTAACAATTGTTTTTTTCTATCTTTATCACCTGCTGCTCTTACCCAACTATTGTATAAACTTCTATAATTTCTATAAGTTTTAGTATTTATTGTATTTCTGTTATTTGCTTCTTCAAATACTTCTCTTAATTTTTGAATACCGATTCTACTTGGAATAATTAATTTTGAACCAGCAGGTTCTTCTTCTTCATCTTGTCTTTCTTTTGTAATATTTCCATCTTTTTTTGTGTTTGTTTTTTTATTTAAACGAGTTCTCGGTGTTTCTTCTTGCGGTGGCGGTGCATTTCCGCTTGAACTTGACGAACCGCCTTGTTGAAAATTAGGTCGCGACGATGGTTCAGGTGATGTTTTTGGCGATGGTCGTGGTCTGGGTTTGCCCCTTGGTTCTGTTGGTCGCTGTGGCATTGTTCGCGGTATTGGTGGCAACGCCGGTAATTCTGATACTGTGGGTTGACTGGACGAAGCAATTGGTAGAGGTTGTTGTGTTGCTCCTACATTCGGTTGGTGGGGTTGTAAAATAATCGAAGGTTGCAAATATTGCATGTTTGGTATTGGCATTGGGTCGTATGTAGTAAATTGTCCCGCTCTGGGGTCTCCTGTAAAATCTAATAGTGGTCTCGGTGGCGGATTTATTCTATTCATTATTGCTTCATTGAATTGACTGATTGCTTCCTGTGACATACCTGCCAGAAGCGAACTTCCAAAATCCATACCGGAAACCATGTGTCCGGCAACATTACCCCCTACTCTTAATGCTGTGCCTCCTAAATTTAATGCATTGCTGCCTAATGTCCTTAAAATTCCTGAACCGCCTTGTTCTTCTCTTTCTAACTGCTGTTGGTGTGCTTCATAAATTGCTTGTTGGTTGCCTTGTTGTGCTGTTGCTATGTTTCCTAATGTTTCATTGATTTGAAACAGTTGTTGTTCTGGCGGTGTGCCAAATTCTTCAGCAACAGACATACTTTCGGCGTCAGTTCCTATGTTAAATTGTTCCGGCGTTCTGGGTTGCTCTGGTTCGGGTCTGTCGTGCTGTGTAAATAATGCTCTGTGTGTTAAACCATTATCCGACGCATATTCGCGCAGCATATGGTCTCTGACAATTCGTTCGGCAATTTGTTTTTCTTGGACTTTTAATTTGTCCAAATGGTCTTTGCCATCAAAACGAGTTCCCTTGTTGCTTTGTTTATAAAATACAGCATCTCTATTCGGAAAGGGTTTTAGTGCATCTTCGTTGTCATTGACCAGTTCCAAAATATCTTCATATCTTGACCTTCTATGAAATTGTATTCCAGCATTTTTAACTACCATTGTTTTATATATTCTTTTAGAAAATAGATTCGCTTAATTCGCTTAATGTATCATATCTTTTTTTAAGATGTTCCAGTGAAGTCTCGGGTATTCTTGGATTATGCATTTCCCCTCTCAATCTTGCCATTTCGCCTTCATAATTTGCTTTCATCTGACCCTCTAACAGTCTGCGTTTAAATGCCAGATTCTTCTCTTTTGCCTCTCTCGCTTCTAATTGTTTTTTCAAATTCAGTAAATAGTCGAGGTTTTGTTGGTGATACACCAAATCAGCGGATGAATTAACGACAGGATTATCTAACGATTTTTTTTTATGTTGCTGTTTGTTCTTTTGAAATTTGAACCTATTATATAGAACCATTTGTATATATTATTATTTAGATTTTTTACTTCTGGATTGAAACATTGCCTTACACATATTAGCGGATTTTTCCTGTCTTCTTCTCATGATTTCAGCGTTCATTGTGTTCATCTGTAATTGCAATAATTGTTGTTGCGTTAAATTCGCATAAGGGTTTAAGGGTTGTTGCTGTGGCACACTTGGCACACTTGGCACACTTGGCACACTTGGCACACTTGGCACAGTTGGCATTGAAGGAGGCAATTGTTGTTCTTGATATTGCGGTGATGCTACTGAATTATTTTCCGATGCTACTAATGGTTCAACATTAATTTTTGGTTTAACATTGCTTTTCCTAACAGGTTTTTTTAATACGTTGCTGGGTTTCCCTTCGCATTTTTCGGGGTGGGAATACCTAAGCGTTTTCATACACATCGTTTTCTTGCAGTCTTGACATTCTGCCTTTTCTTTGGCGACTTCCCTGATTTTAATTCGTTTTTGCTCTTCTTTAGGTTCAGATGCTGCACACACTTCTTCCTCTTCTGGTTTGGGTTCTTCTTCCTGTTCTGGTTTTTCATCAATGGCAACGATGTCATTACTTTCTTCTGCCATATATATAATGTTCTATATATTTTCTACAATAATTCACGTAGCATCTGTATTATGAAAGAGGAGACTAAAAGATAAATTCGCACCGTTGAAGTCTATGAGGTTGCCTACTTCGTCCGTTATTCTAAAACTCAGTCGTCTTATTGAACGACGCGAGACATTAACGTAATCGTAATCTGTAATTCCATAAGGGTCGTTTATAATACCAGCAAACGAAGCATTAACAGGAACCTTCTTCACAATGGCGTTTGAAAAAGACGAGGGACTGTGAAAGTTATTGTTCGACAATTCGGGGCAGGATATGTAAATGTCTTGGTGATGGAGAAGTTTAATAAATCCTGTAGTCCATGGAGCAGATGAGGTGAAACTATCGCCTACCGTGACATTAAAACTCAGCACTTCGTTTATTGAGTTCAAGTTATTTAAATCGACACTGTTAGAAAACGAACCTACCAAAGCAGGGACATCGGCATCGGTTAAAGGGATAAAAAGCACTTCCGCATAATTTGAAGATACTGTCATCTTGTTTGATATAGTGTTGTATGCGACAGTGTAGGAATTCGACCGACCGCCACTATCAAAGAAAAAATTGAGTTGCGTCTGTATCGCATTTGCTAATTCAGGCGGTGTGTAATTGCCGACTGGTATTTCTACTCGCCGATACGTTATGCCTTGTGGTGTTGCTGGTGCGATAATCTGATGCCGAAAATACAAATTTTGATTACTTGTGTTTATCGAATACCACGTGTTCGGTATTGCTATTTCGTGGACTTGCATAATTGTGCCATCCGGTATTTCAAACGTTTCTCTTAATTCTATTTGGAAGTCGCTTATGCCGCGACTGTTGGAGGTGCGATATTTTGAATTCACATAAACCTTTTTATACGTTAATGGTCTGATACTCATATTATATCATAAGTTAGATATTATATATTTCATTTTTTCATTCTTCGTCTATTTGCCTCTATTCGCTTTTCGTGTAATTTAGGGTTTTGATTGTATCTTTGCTCTACGAATTTTTGATGATACGGGGTATTTATATGTCTTAATCTATCCATAAATGTTTTTTCTATGTAGGTTTGCCCGCAAGTTCCACACATTAT